GAAATTTCAAATAATGCTTAAAAACTGGGAAAAATCCCGGAAAATTAGTTTATTTTTATTATATTATTTTCTTAAACTCCTTTTTCATGCTTTCATGATAGTTTAACAAGTGAAATATGTTGTTCTTAGTCTAAAATCAAGGGTGTCTCTTTGTGAAAGAAAGCATAATGGAATAAAAAATAAAATAAAAGAAAATGGCGGGAAAAATGATCAAATTTCAAGCCAACCTACATCCCTTTAATATTAAGATATAATTTTCAAACTCGGACCGAATATTGGCCTCTATGTGCCGGACCCCTCTACCAAAGCAAAATTTTATAACCCTACTAGGGGGGCAGCAATGGCCCTTTAAGTCTTCTGTTTAGCAAACCGGGAGAGGGTACTTGAAGCTATGTTGCAGCGCAATTTTCGTGTAAGCGTGGTCCAACGGCTCAGACCATGAGCTAGTGATTTACGCATGGAGCGAGGGGGCGTTGGTTCAAACCCCAGCTGTGGTCAATTTTCAATTTTTTTTATTTTTTTCTTATTTTNAACTTATTTCAGAAGGTGGAAAAAGCAATTGTTTGTAATGGAATAAAAAACAAGTAATTTTTTGCATTAAAACTGTAGAAATATTATTGTAGTATTGTAAATTAATAGTTGTTTAATCATTTCTAATAATTTTTGTTAATCTAGTCATATTTTATTTGAATGTGTTATAGGACTCCTTTTACCATACTTTCATGATAGTTTAACAAGTGAAATATGTTGTTCTTAGGATAAAATCAAGGGTGTCTCTTTGTGAAAGCAAGCACAATGGAATAAAAAATAAAATAAAAGAAAATGGCGGGAAAAAGGATCAAATTTCAAGCCAACCTACTTCCCTTTAATGTTAAGATATAATTTTCAAACTCGGACCGAATATAGGCCTCTATGTGCCGGACCCGTCTACCAAAGCAAAATTTTATAACCCAACTAGGGGGGCCGCAATGGCCCCTTAAGTCTTCTGTTTAGCAAACCGGGAGAGGGTACTTGAAGTTATGTTGAAGCGCGATTCTCGTGTAAGCGTGGTCCAACGGCTCAGACCATGTGCTAGTGATTTACGCATGGAGCGAGGGGGCGCTGGTTCAAACCCCAGCTGTGATCAANCAGGATTATTAGAGAAATGGATTATATTCTATAAGGATTTTAAAGTCAAAGTAAGATTTCGCTTTAAACTTTAAGAAAATATTAACGATTGTTATGTTAAATTGGTGTTTTTAAAAACACAGTTACAATGAATTATTCCATTATAGGTTTTTATTTCTGGAATTGAAACTTCTTTTGGAAATTCACCAATTCACTCAGTTGAAGAGATGCTAAACTTATTTCAGAAGGTGGAAAAAGCAATTGTTTGTAATGGAATAAAAAACAAGTAATTTTTTGCATTAAAACTGTAGAAATATTATTGTAGTATTGTAAATTAATAGTTGTTTAATCATTTCTAATAATTTTTGTTAATCTAGTCATATTTTATTTGAATGTGTTATAGGCAAAAGACATGTAAAGGATTTTTAGAGGGCCATTTTATGTCTCGGAGAACTGGATTGTGCAAAGAATGCCAGTCTAACAAAAAGCCTTCAGCTATACTAAGCAAATCACTGACAAACTCCATCAGACTTGCTAAGAAACGGCAACTTTTGATTAATTCTGCAAGAAAAAACATCAGACTTAAAAGAAAGGTAACTTAGTATAAATACATATGTTTGTGTTATAGGCATATCTCAAGAGAAAAAAAAAAATATTTGCCTGCTGTGTGGTTATCCATGATGATAATTTTTGGTATTTTTATTTATTAATTTTTCTCCATTAAGGTTTCTAAATTGGAAAGCATTGTCACTGAAAGAACTGCTTGTGCTCTGACAACTGAAACACAACTGTTAGAGCAAATTAAGGATCTTCCTGATGCTCAAAAAGAAGGAATCCAAGCTTGTTTGCGGGCAGCCAAATATAAACCTAAAGGGATGAGATATCCAGCACGTTGGATTTACGAATGTTTGCTGATTAAAATAAAAAGCACTAAAACCTACAACCACCTGAGAAATCACAACATTCTGCAACTGCCATCGCCATCAACCCTTCACAGATATCTGGGAAAAGTTAAAAGCTCCTATGGATTCGATTTATCAATATTTAAGTGCTTAGCTGAGAAATCCAAGGTTATGCATGGATATGAAAAACGTTGTATGAATATTTTTTTATTGTAATAATTTTATTATAAATTTCTTAGGTATTATCATTTCATTATTTTGCATTTACTGTTTTTAGGTGCAGTTTTAATTGATGAAATGAAACTGTCTCCAAGTTTAACGTTCAACAAACAAACCCTAGAAATTCAAGGCTTCGTTAATCTTGGAAAATATACTTCATCGAAGCAAGCATCTGAGAGGGGTGACCATGCGTTAGTTTTCATGATACAGCCTTTCAGGGGCAAGTGGGTGCAATCAATTGCATGTTTTCTGAGTAAAGGTGCTGCATCAGGTATTAATTGCACTATGGTCTAGGGCAGGTGCCCATTCAGGGATCAAGAAAGTGCACTTCAATTCCATCTCTTGAAAATGCAATCAATTATATAAAAAAGATGGCTTTTGCTTTTAAACAATTTACTATATTGTTTTCTTTTTTTTATTTAAAAAAATATACTTTAATAGAATATTATAAAATAATCTAATGCTAAACCTGTTCACTGTTTTTTTTTCCCTTTCAAATAATACTTAATTATAAGCAATAAAGCATATTTTATATTAAATTTTTTGTAAAATTTAACTTTTTTTTAACATGTAAAATTTTGTTTAAAAAATTTTAATTATTAATTAAAGTTGCTCTTTAATTTTTCCCATGTTCATGTAAAAAAAAGTTTTCGGAAATACACGAAAATACTTTGTACTTAATTTTTTAGTTGGTTTAATTTTTACTACAGTTAAATTTTGTGTTTGTGCTGATAATTATGATGAATTAGATTTTTCCTTTCATAATAATAATTGAGAAGATGTTGACAACTGTGATAAATTTTTCCAGGAACAATTTTACATCACTTGTTGTTGGAGTGCATTATTCTGTTGGAGCGTGCAGGCTTTTTCATTGATGTTGTTGTGACTGATGGGGCATCCTGGAATAATAAACGCACTTCTCCTAAATTAGATTTATGGTTGTAAAAATTCTGACTGCATTGAAATACATTTAATTTAGTCATAAGTATGTCTACAAATATTTAAAATAAAAATTTAATTTATCTAACAAAGGTTTTGTACAATTATTTTCTTAAAAAATTTGTTATAGTATTCAGTATTGGTATAAGTATAATTTATTCAGTTAATAATATTACATTGAATTGAAGGCTTTTTCATTGATGTTGTGACTGATGGGGCATCCTGGAATAGAAACATGTGGAAAAAATTCGGCATTACATTGGAGTCTGTTAGCTGCCAACATGTGTGTGATGAACTTAGGAGGCTTTGGTTTGTGTCAGATTTCCCCCATCTAATCAAATGTCTTAGGAATATAATAGTTGCTCTAAAGAACTTAATGGTAAATTATGTACATGCATTTTTTTAACCTTTGTTTTATAAGTTAATACCATAAGCCAAGTTAAACCCTTGTTAACTTGAATTTTTTATAACCTGAATTAATATATATTTATTTCCTAGCGAAATCGCATAAAAAATTATATTAAGTATAATTAATGCAAAATGTGTACGTATGTACTGTATAATTTTTATTAACGCTAAATATATTCAGAACATAAACAAATGTTCTGTGCTCTTTTGTAACTATATAATTTAAAATTTCTCAATTTGAAAATGTATACATATTTTTCTTTATTTTTAACCTTCTCTGATATAATAAGAAATATTAGGGAAGGTAATATTAATTTATATGTTTATAAAGTTGAAAACATTTTCTAATAATATCAAATGACAATTTAGACACCAGATGGTCCTTTTAAGTTATCATTCTGGGATGCTGTTATTGACTAACCCTAAAGACTATAGTTTGAAAGTTTGTCCCAAATTGACACCAGAGCATGTGAGACCAAAGTTTTATCAAAAAATGAATGTGGCTTTAGCATTTCAGGTAACTTAAGATCTCTTTAAATTTACTCATTTTTAGAGATAGCTTTATTTATTTAAAAAAATCCTTCTTTTAGTTTTTTAGTGCTTCTGTTGCTGCTGGCATGGAATTATATAAAGATCACACAGACAATTTAGCCGGCAGTGATGGAACAATTACTTTTGTTAAACGTGTAAATAAGCTAATTGACAGCATGAACTCAAGGATCCCTACAACAGCCTTAAGACCAAATAGTTCTGACCATAAAGTAAAGAAATTTCATACTGTTTTATTCACTGATATCTGTTATTATGTTTCATGTTGAATGGATTATGAATATTTGGATTTTAATTCTTTGAAACCTCAATTTTTTTAATAGCACATTCAAGATTTTTTGAGCTACCTTAATGAATGGGAGACATTTGCTCTTGAGAATAATTATCATTTTATTTCTGAGTCTACTTGTTATGTGTTAAAAGTTACTTTAAAAGGTACATTGGAAATATTTGAATTTTTAACTAGCCAGTGTAAGTTCAGCTACTTAATGACTGCTCGGTTAAACCAAGATTCGTTAGAGGTAATAAAAGGATTAATTTTATTATAACTTATGTTTGAATTGTTACATTAAAATAAAAAGTATTTATTATTTTTTAGAAATTCTTTGGCATCATGCGAAATGCTTGTGGATCTAACGATCATCCCAACCCCAACACTTTCCTTCAGGTTTTTCGCTTAGTGGGTACGTATTCCCTAATAAAGCCTCCAAAAAATTCGAATGTATCTGGAACTGAGTTGTTAGAGACACTGGTTGATTGCAGTACTAGACATTCCAGCGACAATAAGAAGATGTTGTTTGAAGAGAAACTGGATGCAGTAATAGATAAGTGTCTAGATATTAATAAATTTTGTTTAAATTTGAAAGAAGAATGTGTCCACAATTATACATCCGCCTTAAATTCAAGTGATGTTGTTGTAAGTTACATTGCTAGGCGTGCATCCAAATTCACAAATTGTTCACTTTGCCAAGCAATGTTAACCAACAATATTGAAACTGGTTATACTAAACTCATTAACATTAAAGATTATGGTGGTCTTGTAACACCTTCTAAAAGTGTTTTTGTGTTTGTTCAAACCCTTGAATCACAAGTGATGAGTGTTTTGAAATCAAATGGTGTTAATGTTAACGTATTTAATTCCATTTGTGACAAAATTGAAGATTTACCACAATTGCCTTTCTTGGGATGTGATGAACATAAACACAGTTTTACACTATCTGTCATAAATTTTTTTCTCACTACAAGAATGCATTTTATTTGTGATAAAGCTAATAAGATTGAGTCATTCAATTCCAATAAAACAAAGCAATATAGAAAATTATCCAAACTTTAAAACATTGCATGTAA